AAATCTAGCATCGTTTTCTGTAACTTGATCTCCATGTGCCTATAGGCTGGATTTGGACATGGTTTGCCGATCTCCAGACTGTACGCCCGCTACTTTCAAGGGGACCTGAAACTGTACTCGATGGAAGGTGTAGGGACCGATGCCGTCATCTACTTGAAGGTAAAAACAGCTCTCAATTTGCACTTTACATAATTATTCCACTAGGTTTTGAATGACATCCACCCTGTCATCTTCTCTGACCAGGCTCTCTCCAGCGAATCATTTGAGCGTCTGCCCGTCTTTAACAAATCTGCTTGGCGACACTATCAAGAAGGCCCAGGAGCAGATGACTGGAGCAACCCGAGCAAAGAGCCCAGAGATGCTTCAAAATACAAGGCCAAGAGATAATCGCACTCGCCCCATCCATGTTCCACTGCACCCGTTACAGACATACCGTCTTTAGTCTAGCTTCAGTTGCCATGGCAACATCACAGCGATGCTGAGTGTTCTATACTTGTTAGCATTTCCAGAACAGAAGAGCTGATGATGTAAGTGTCATTAAGTCCCTGCTCTTTCCTCCTTTGTGCAGCTACGGATGTAAGATACAGAACCTCCTTTTAGTGTCTTCCAGGGCAGTTAGAGGAAAAAGTGAACGTTTGTGGCCGGGGTGTCCGATACTTTGGTTCTTTTTTAATTGTGCCACACAGTAGCCTCCCTGTTTCATTTTCTAAAACAGCCAGAGAAGGATGCCTGGAGTTTGAGATGGTCAAAACAAAGAGCACTTCTTTTACTGCCATTTACAAATTCACAGGCACTAGAGAGAGGGTTTGTCCCCAGTTTCTGTGGCTACAACTCCTGTTTTCTTGGCAGTGGACTAATGGAGAAATTATTTGAAAATGCTCTGAAGAAATGAAGATAATTTGGTTAAACTCAAAACTTCATGAAAACTGTCAAGTACATGTCATTTTTCACCCTAAAATCTAAAGAAAAATATGAAATTATATTTTGCATAAAGAAAATGAAACTTTTTAGTACAATTAGTCATTTTTGCATTGACATTAATAATATATATTTTTTAAAGTAATTTAAGTTATTATATTGCATTTTATATATATATATATATATATATATATATATAATTTCAGTAAAATGTATTTTGAATTATAAAGCCATTTTAATTATTATATTTCATTATTAAAATTATTACATATATACACAATATTTTTGTTATATATATATATATATATATATAATTTCAGTAAAATGTATTTTGAATTATAAAGCCATTTTAATTATTATATTTCATTATTAAAATTATTACATATATACACAATATTTTTGTTATATATATATATATATATGTGTGTATTAGTATTTATATTTTTATAATATATTTATAATTTAAGGTATTTAAATTTTTTTTTAAATGTGTTTCAACTTAACATTAATATTTGTGAGTTCTGATTTTAATTGGGAAAAAAAATTCTGTCCAGACAAGATGATTTTCATTACTGTATGACAGTAATGAGAATTTAAGGGGGGGAATGTGCTTAATTCTCATGAAAATGTCATAATGCAAACTAGTTTAGTGGTCCTAAAAACAGTTTTCTTAATGCAAAATCGTTCTTATTTTTCTTTCAATGTTTTGGGTGAAATGTGAGTGGATGTTTGCTTGTTAGATGTACCCAAATGTTTTTTTTTTGGGGAGCAGAGGAGTATGCTGATAAAGTGACATTTCCAAGCCTGGTGGAATGCACTTTTAAACAAATCAGTGTAGTTTCAAATATTTATTTATTTATTTGACCCCCATTTATTTTGTTTTCTCCCAAGTTGTGCATTTGTGTAGGGCTGTGCTGATTCTGAGCTGGGCCTCGGTGTGAGTAGCTGTAGTACATTACCTACATTCATTTATAGGTCAGTAGAACTTCCTGCTAATGTAAATGAAGAGAGACGATGGTAAACTTTGAAGAAGAATGCACCACTGTAGCCTATTATAGCATTAGTGCTATAGTCAATCATTATTCTTTCATCTTAAAGCAGATACTGCTTTTATGACATTATAGCCCCTGCATGGTGACGTTTAATAGAGTTGATAGAAAGATATTTGCTTGCAGACTTGGAGAAGAAAGTTTCAATTTCAGCAATTCAATTTCATTGAGAGAAAATGCATAGTTAGATATAAACTTCATGAATTGGCTGACTTTTGAATCAGAGTTTTAGCTTAAGATTTATTTTTATTACACCACTAGTTCTCAAACATTCCTTTTGGTGGAATAAATGTTTTCCAGAGGACCTCGTCTTAAATAATTCCTAACACAGATACGGTTTGGGACTCTTTGAGTGCAGTGATTCTATGAAGGGGTCTATGAAGATGAAATACAGGACAACTCGTGTGGTTTACAGGAACCAGTACTCAACTACAAGCCTACACTGTGTCCTATCTCAAAACTATACCGTAATTTATTCCTCAATGATTATTTTGTACGCACAAGTATATTTAGGTGAACCTGAATTATATTTCTATAGTCAGGTGAGTTTTGCCTATTATTTGAATTTTTGCTTTTTGAAACTCTGTAAGATGAACATTTAAGTAGTTTGTTTTTACTGCAACACTCCAGGGTGAATCTCATGAAACCTCTCAAGAACATGTCTAAATCATATTTCATCCTGAAATATAAAGAAAAAAATATTATTCTGCGTGAGAAAAATTAAACCCATTTTTAGAATGAGATTTTACAGTATTAAAAATTGAGAAATAAAATGAATTTAATTCTCATTATGCCTGTACAAAAAATCTTAATGGTGCAAGAATAGATCTCATTATTCTTTATGTAAAATATAATTGAAAAAATTTTGATTTTGAGACGATAAAATATGATCTTCTACATTTTCATTTTCATGTTAATGAGATTCATCCATCTGGACTCTGCTGGCATGCTGTTGTTTAATTCAGACCGATTGTATATTTATCAGCTGCTGTTCTGATACTGTTCCATGTGTCAGAATCTCTCCATAGAAAACATTCAAAACCATCTACATCTGTCTTAATGCTGGTTTGTGCTGTGTTTGGGGGGGGTCACTTTTGATGACACCTTACAGTTTTTCATGTTATTGAAGTGTAGATTTCAGTATTAATTTTAAAATATTTGTTATATGGTTTATTAGTTTTTATGTTCAAATAAGTCAATGAAGAATGCACTTTGATGCCTTTAACTCCAAGCGTTCAGAAGAGCAGACTGAAGTATGCAAGCATTTTCCTGTGAAAACAAGCCTTCACGGCCTTTTCGGTCATTGTCAAGTTCAAATAGTCATTGATTTTGCCTGTATACGCTCGTCTTTGCATGCATACGGAGCGTTAACACATTAGGAAAATCTGTTTACCTAATCTTGTATCTGCAAAATGGGCATTTTTGTGAGACTATTAGTATTTTGGACTTTTTTTCTTTTTGTTATGACAAGTTCAACAGTACTGCTTACAGATAAATGCTGTTCCAAACATACAAAATGTGTTAGATTATTTTTTTTGTGTAATGCTGACGCTGACACGGACACATAAATCATTATAATGACGATATTGATATATTGACATTCCATCTGAAGTACCTAAAAAAACAAAAAACAATAAAAAGATCTTCCAGTACTACCATCATGTGTTCATGAATCTGTAATGAATCTTGGAGCTGACAATTGTTCTGTTTCTCAGTTTATTATTTACATTTTAAGCAAATGTAATAGAGAACAATATACAAACAAAAAGAATGTTTACAGAGTGCAGATTATGTAAATTAAAGTGTCTCTGGCATACATATAATGATATACCTAGACAAGACAGAAGGGCATTCTCCATGATGTAGGGCTGGTAGATTGAGCAGCACAGATTTTAAGGAATGGTTCACTCCAAAATGAAACATTGCTGAACCTTTACTCACCTGCAGACCATCCAAGATGTAGATTAGTTTGTTTTTCATTGCAACAGGTTTGGAGAAATTTAGCATTAATTAATTTGCTCACCAATGGATCCTCTGCAGTGAATGGGTGCCGTCAGAATGAGAGTACAAACAACTGATAAAAACATCACAAGTAATCCACACAAGTCCAATCCATCAATCAATGTCTTGTGAAGCAAAAAGCTATGTGTTTGTCTCATCTGAATCAGGAGAGAAACATGCACAGATCAACTACTGTAAAGCAAAAACAGTCCAAAACTTTAGGTAGAATTATAATGGAATATAGACTGGTAGTTTGGACAGAATTAATGGTTTAAAGTTAAAATGCCTTCATAATGAATTTGTTTCTTACAAACACTCAGCTTTTCACTTCTCACAATGTTAATCGATGAACTAGAGTCTTGTGGATTATTGTGATGTTTTTTTCAGCTGTTTGGACTCTCACTCTGACGGCACCCATTCACTGCAGAGGATCTATTGGTGAGGAAGTGATGTAATGCTAAATTTCTTGAAATCTGAAGAAACAAACTGAGTACATTTCCAGCAAATTTTCATTTCTGGGTGATTTTGAGGTTAAGGCTGCAGTAACACACGTTAATGACTATTAATTAGAACTAAACACATTCATGCACAGACAGCTCAGTGAATGTTAGCGGCCTCCTCATGTGTGCGCTGATACACATTCATGAGGTGGATCAGACATCATTTTTTGAGAACAATAAACAGGGATTGATGCACATACAGTATATTACAATAGGACAGTCCCAATGTTCCATTCAGACCTGAGCAATGGACGTCAGAATCAGTCCATTTCCTCTTAAACCTTTAGGGGAAATTCACTACCAAGTTGGACCACTTTTGTTCACAATATTTCAGTGAAAGTGTCTATTTCACCAACCCACCACATTTTTTTGGCCACTTTTGTGTTATTAACCTAATTTGTGGGAATACACCAATATTAAAATAACCTGATAATAATTTAACTTGTTATGGCTGATAACCGATAAATGGCAGATATTAAAATTTAAATTATTATTAAAAAGCATCACAACATTATAATGTACGGTATGAAAAATGGATAATTATTTTAATTTGGTAATTATATGATTTGGTAAAAACAGTGTTATTCAATTATCAGTGGGTTTAAAGATGAATTTTAAGTGAATGTTGGACGATTTTAAAAATACGGGAAACCAAACAACTGAACAAGCAAGAACAATTAAATATAACGGCCAATAACCGTTATAATACTGATATGCTCATTCCTGTTGATGTTCATATTTTTTAACAATTTGGGTGCTAAAACAACAAATAGTATGTGCAAAGAAAAGACACTAATAGTGGCTGCAGTTCATTCAGTGAATCCCCCCTCAATTTGAATTTAAATCTTCTCTCAGGATCTGTTCAGGGCTGCAATGGCTTTCAAATATTTGTTGTAATACCAGCATAACTAAACAGGACTTTAACAACCCTGTGCTGTGTACAGTACTTTACATTTTCCCATGAGGGTAGCTGACCTGTCATCGTTCTTAATGCGTGTGTGTTTGTGGGTAAAGTGCAGTCTATTGTGTGTGTGTGTGTGTGATGGTTTATTCCTCACTTCTCGTCCTCGTCACCCTCGCTCATGCTGCTGATGGAGGCCGAGGCGCCCTTCGGGGACGTGGGCGGTGAGGTTCTGGGCATGGCCCAGCGGGATGGAGGTGATGGAGAGCGTGATGGGGAATAGTCCCTCGGTGGGCTGTTGCTGGGTGAGCAGCGTGGAGAGAACGCCTGGATCATACGTCCACTACGTTCCTGAAGCATTTGCTTCTGGAAAAATGAAAAAAATCATATTCAAAAACAAACAAACGACTACATCTTTTCTTTTGTTTCGCGTTTTTCTTTTGTATCATTATATAGGTACATATATATATATATATATATATAGGTATATATTACCCATGTCCCATCTGGGCCAAAGAGCTCCAGGAAGTTCCCAATGAACTCTCGTGATTTCTCCTCCCACTTCTGGATAAGATCATGGCTCTTCTCCTCCACTCTATACACAAAGTGCTTGGACTTCTCCTCTACCGTCCGCACCTTCTCTTTCATCCTGTCCACCTGATTCTGCAGACGGTACTTCTTTTCCTGTCCAAAAAGAGTTAGTTCAGCAAGCATTTTTTTTAATGTCAGTGTTAAATGTTGTACAAAACATATTTTACTTTATGTATGACATTCTTCAAAGTAAATCAGGATTGTTTTAATGAAGAAAAATTTTTAATGATTTTATTTACATTATGCAACACATTTTTTTAATCTATTTTTTTTTCAAAACTACATTTGAAATTAAGTTAAGTTTGTACATACAGTGACTTAAATACATCACTTCTATGATGAGCATGTTTTATTCCTAAATTAATATATATATTTTTTTTAGTTCAGGTTGTAAAATGTCATGTGATGTGACCCAAAAAAGTTAATAATTGATGATATTTGCAAAAACAAAAATACATAAAATATTTATTATAAATTTTATATATATATATATATATATATATATATATATATATATATATATATATATATATATATATATATATATATATATATAAAATTAAATATATATAATTTTTTTTCTGAATAATAGTTAAGGAAGATATGTTTTATCAATTTGTTTCAGAGGCGAGTGTTATTTTAGTATCATTTATTTTCTTATCATTTTTGTTAATATTTTGAATATTATTGATTTTGGTCTTAATGTTTTTTGTGTGTTTATTTTTATTAGTTTTTTTAAAATATGTCTATATTTATCACATTTTAATTTTTAGCTATTTTAGTAATTTAAATGTAAAATGAGAAATGTGCTGACAAATAGCTAAAATAAGTTAAAAATACGTTTTTATTTTATTTTATGTTATTTCAGTTAATGTTTATTTTACTTCAAGTAATACATTTTTAATGGCTCTAGTTTTAGTTAAAGTGATAATAACCCTTTAGGTGAACAATTAATTTTATTTATAGAAAGAAAATGAAATTGAATTCAACATTTAAGTACATTTATGTTAGATCATGCCTCCACATCAGAAATCTCAGATCCAGCCCCAGACACCAGATCCTGTCAGAAAATATCCATTTGTCTGGTAACAGAACTACTAGTCAGCAAAATACACAGTTTGCATTTGAGGATCCTTCATTAAGTTCATTTACTTACATTAATATAACTGACGTTCAGTTCTTTAGCGGTGTAGCCCCTTTGCAAGTTGCGTCTAGCGTACACGTCATAGTCTCTCACTATCCGTGTGATCAGGTCAGACGTTGAGATCCCTTCTGTCCTTTTAGTGGGCACAAACATACCTGAGACACTCACACATGTTAGATCTGGTCTGAAACACAAACACACACATGCTCTTAAGCGAAGGCCACTTTTCCTTACCTGCCTCCTTAATATGCTGGTACACGTCCTCAGATCCAGCAGAGGAGTATGGGATGTCGTCATGCGCCACAAAGTCAATCTAGAGAACATGAACCAGAGGGTTAACCGCAGGGAATTATGGGTACGGTATTGTGCTATGATGTGACCAAATAACTGACCTTGTGTTTTTCTAAAAACTCTTGGGTCAGAGTCCAGGGCGCATCGCGCAAAACCTCATCAACGTAGCGGCAGTGTCTCAATGCCTCGTACCGCTCGTCTTCTGTCATTACGGTGAAGCCCTTGTACTTGTGAGTGAGTTCATCACTACATACTTAACACACACACATAGATAATTCATCAGTTTAGGACCACAGAGTTCATAATTCAACATCTTCTACAGAATATTGATAAGCCTGGATCAGTAAATGAAACATGTCTATACCTCCAACAATAAGGTAGGCGTTAGGGAAGAGATTCTTAGCCTGCATCAGGGCACGAGCGTGACCAGAATGAAAAAGATCGAAGATGCCATCTGCATAGATTCGCACCGGCCGGTCCACTGAGAAAGGAAAATTCATGACACTTTTAGAAATCATTTACAGATCTAATGAAGCTTTCTGAAAACACACACAAAAAAGTTGTTCACTTTATACCGTTGTTTATTTTTTTAAATGTATTTATTTTTGTTATTTCTGCCTTTATTGTGACAGGACAGTATTTAGACAGGAAGCGAAGTGGGAGAGAGAGAGGGGGGAAGGGATTGGGAAGGGTCCACGAGCCGGGACTCGGGATGCCCAAAGCACAATGGTTCTATATGTCGGCGTGCTACTCACGAGGCTACTGGCACCAGCAATAATTTACATTTTTAAGCAAAGATACATGAAACTGATCGAAAGCGACAGTAAAATAATTTATAACGTTACAAAAGATTTCTATTTCAAATAAATGTTCTTTTGATCCTTCATCAAAAAAGTCTGAAAAAATATCACAGGTTTCACAAAAATATTAAGTAGCACAACTGTTTTTCAGCATTAATAATAATAAGAAATATTTCTTGAAGACTAGGATCATGTAACACTGAAAACTAAAGTAATGATGCTGAAAGTACAGCTTTATCTTCACAGGAATAAATTACATTTTAAAATATATTAAAATAGAAAACAGTTATTTTAAATTGTAATAAAATTTCTCAATATTACTTTTACTGTATTTAGCCTCGGTGAGCATAAGAGACTAGAGGTTTGCATTCCCGCGGTTGCCGACCAGATTTTTTGTGCCGCGTGATTAAATTCCAGAATAAAACGCGGTAGTGGTCGGTAACTCTGGTGTAATTTGAATGGGAGCAGGCGGTCCAACAATATCCCGTTCCCGACATCCATTCAGAACAGCATATCTGTGCTTTATTCTTGACCACCGGTACAGCCTGCACTCGGACTGTTATGCACGCGCTGCACACATGCTTTCTGCGTCACACGTTTTATTTGCGGGGTCTGTGCACTGCATGTGCATTACGATGCTCAGAGCAGGCTGTACCAGTGGCAAATATACGGCCCTCAGACAGAACAGGCAGGTTGTCGATGAGTGACAGAGCAGAATAAGGATGGATCAAAGTGTGGATGCGCTGACCTTGAAGGACGTTCAACTCGGTTTTGTTTATGTTTTGCTTAGCCTATAATTTTAAATGACAGATGTCGTATTTATTTAATTTTCTCTGCGACACTTTTCCTACTGTGATGACAGACAAATGTCAAATGACTTTATTATTTTGACAAAACGAATAAAAATAGCTAATAGGCTATTTTTGTACAACCTACTTTTTTTTTCTCTCTGCGACACTTCCTATTGTGTTGTAAATGTTAAACGAATTGTATCCTGACAAGATGAATAAAAATACTAAAATTTTTGTAAAACATTTTTATTTTCTCTGATACTTTTTTTTCTTACTATGTTGCATAAAATATTAAACAAATTTTGTGTCTTAAGATAATTCATATAAATTCAAGTCAAAGTCAATAAATTCAAGACTCTTGATAAGACGAATTAAATAACACAATTTTGTGCAGACTACACTTTTATTTGTTAGCCTATCTCTCTTTCTTTCAGTAGCGAAAATTTAAATGTGAGATTCTGGAAACGAGATCTAAATTTAGCGGGAACGGTCGGGTCGGGAAGAAAATTATTCTAAGTGGACAGTGGGTAAACAAAGAGTGAATATGTAGCGGGAGCGATATATAACCTTGCGGGAGCGGGACTAAAAAAACAGTCCCGCGCAGAACTCTATAAGAGGCTTCTTTCAAGAATATTAAAAATTTTAGTCAAAATTCTGGCCAAGGCAGAGTAAAAGATGTGAATAGAGTGGGCAACACCATTACTTTTTTACTGTTCACTTTTTTAAATTCAAAAACTTAAAATTGTCCTTTTTTATGTCCTTGAAAGACATAAAAAAACATTCAACCTTTCTCCTTTTGTCTATTCTCCACTATAGCAGAGCTCAGTAATCATTGGCCAGCAGAACTCTGGTATGTGAGGAATGACACTAGCTATGTTTCCATCCACCTATTTTTATGACCTTTTTGGAATATTGGAATATACTGTATATCTAATTTAAAAAATGTATGCGCACAATTGTATAGGATAAACTTTTTATCCAATAAGAAAAAAAGTGCATAACCTACGATTGAAACACATTTACCGAATAAAATCCTCCATGCGTATCAAAAAATTAATGTGACCTTGCGCTATGGGACGGACTAACCAGCAGACCCTTAATCTAGTCTTGCTGGGTCTGGTCCCAGTGGTGGACTATTCTACAAGCACTGCAGTTTTCTCTGACACTGATATGGGATCAGTTTAAGTAGCTTAATTCATCAGTGTTTGATGGGGATTTGTGAAATGGGTCCAAATGACAAAAATGAACTTGCTTTTCACCAGAAAATAACTTTCAGATGTGTTCTTTTTTTTTTTTACACACGTACACTTACACAGTTGTTTTATCATGTGTTTTTGTTACTCTTTAGTAAATCAACTACTACAGATCTTGGACTTAAAAGTCTTGCTATGGATTGTGTCAATAATTATACCGTACAATTTTGTCTTAACATATTGGGCAAATATGTTTAAATATGATTATACTTATATAACAAAATGTATTAATTTCTGTTTTTTTTTTTTTTATGTCTTACTGACTCCGAAAATTTTGAATGGTTGGGTGTATGTGTGTATCCGGTAAGGTTCGATCCTGTTTATTTTATTGTGATTACATAAGTAATCAAGATATAATGAATGAAGTTACAAGCTTTAAAAAAAAAAAAGAAGTTAAGTTTAAGAGCTTAAGGTGCATATTTCTTAGTGTCTGGTAGTTTATGAAACAAGCATATTACATTTTTTAGGTTATAGCCTAACAGGAATGACCTTATTACAAAGGGAATATTTTAACTTGGTGTTCCATTCATTATAACTGAACAGAGAAAATACAGAAATACAGAAAATACAGACTAACCAGGCGTTCCACGTCGAGCTTGCTCTACAGACAGCTTCTCATGTGGAGCCCGACACTCACAGCTTGTCTCCGGGGTAAATATGGCTGGTTCTATAAGAGTCTGCAGAGAAGATTTAAGAATATATTGATTTGAGAAAAATTATGAGAAATAAATAGACATTGCAGCTTTCCAAATAAAATACAGTTTAAACAAGCCTAGATCCTGCTGACATGACATCCTATTTACCCTTCTCAAAAATGTTTTCCTTTTTGTAAGAATAGAGGTTATTATCAGACGTATTGATTTCAAGACAATCTGTGTAACAGCCTCTTTACAGCGGATATTGATTTGTCCAGTAGAGGGTTCTCTAATGTCACTGACTTAAGACAAATCATTCGTCCACAGCAGCACAGAGGGGGAGATAGATACAGACGTACATAACACGGATATTTCAATGTATTCAAACCTCCTCGTGGCTTATAGCACAACAGAGAACAATAGGCCTGCGGACACTGTGACAACACATGCTTCTGAATTAGCATTTCAATTGATTGTAGAGTAGCAGGGATATTTTAGTTTGTGCATATTTCAGGGAGTTTATAATGAAAAGTTTACAAGTGCAAAAATAGATCCACTCATATCCTAAATGGGGGAGAATGGGGTTTGTTATCAAAGAATTTACTATATAGAAAGAATATTTAAAATAGGAAATATTATCTAGTTAAAAACATTGTTCACTTCAAGTCTGTATATATTATAATACAACAGCCGATACATGTGCATATATAATATATACTAAATTCATAAAACATCAAAAATAGAAAAGGTACAAAAATAGCAAACATACAACAATATCAAACCATTGAATTTTATTGTGGCCAACAGCTAAACTTTATTCTTATTTAAAGGGTTTTTGCTTTTTTTGTCCACTTCAAATGGATATTATATTATATATGAGTTTTTGCTTAATTTAAAGAGAAAATTAATTCATGAAACAACAAAAATGGAAAAGGTAACAATATCAGACAGACAAAAACATGCTTTTATTGTGTCATTTACATATACCTGTATGAACATAATCTTCCTTAACACACAAAAAAATATATTTTTGAATAATGTTGGCAACCACCAGTTGCTGGTAGCCATTGACTTCCATAGTATATATTTTTTCTCCATACTATGGAAGTCAATGGCTACCAGCAACTGTCTGATTACCAACATTCCTCAAAATATCTTCTTTTGTGTTGAACAGAAGAAAGAAACTCATAAAGGTTTGGAACGCGAGTAAACGATGACAGAATTTTCATTTTTTGGGAGAACTGTCCCTTTAAAACCTTAGTTACTTAAATCATCCTTGTAGCATCTTCCTAGTGTGACAACTACTGTAGCCCCGATCTATTTTAGTAAACGTGGGCAGAGGCACCAGATGTGTTTAAATGAATTCTGGGCAAACACATTACAGAAATGTTACAGATATAATTTCTGTGTTAACATTCCCGTGACCTTTGGGACCTTTGAGACAATAGTGACCATCTGTCTGTTCAGGAAATGCCCAGTTAGAGCGTATTCCTGCTGTTCAACAGGAAACAGACTCAGCTGGTACATATGCATTTACATATCCAATGCCATGTAGGTGTGATATCTGATTACTCATTGGAGGAAAAATCTCCATGGAGCAATGCATGATTCATTCCCATAGCAACGGAGACAGTGTTTTGAAGGATGCTGGAGACCTTTCCCAGAATTCTGTACAAGGTGAGAAGGAGGAGCAACATCATAGAAGGGCAACCTGCTGATAAATGCAATCTGGATGGTGTCTGTGACTGTAACATTAGCTCAGCACCATCCCACCACAGCGCTGACTCTCGCAATTAAAAACAACATCTGGCAGACTCAGAGGATTAAAAGCAGCATTATATCATGGCATTAGAACAAACACCCAGATAGTCAGTGCAAAACAGCTCACTTTAACACTCACTTTTTCACTCGGCCAGCAGCACAAAAGACAAAAACCGATAAACACAGACTGAAAACAAAGAGAAAGTGATCCAACCTCTCCTCAGCGTTTCACAGATGCCCTCGACGACAACAAAACATATATCTCACCGTTCGTGGCAGTGGACAGGTATGTTCCAGCTCCTCCATGATTTCTGGAGGGTCCAACCCAAACAGGATGTGCCTCCACCTGTACCTGACTCAGCATCAGCCTGGAGACGCTTTTCTAGCCGTTAGCCGAGCCGCGGTCAGGGATGCTCTACTCCAGCTAGGGTCTAGTTCCCGCCCACGCGCCTCTCTCATCCTCTCCTGGCAGGACCCGCCCCTCCTCAGCTCCCCTCACGGTGAATCCGGCTCCTCCCTATGCCCACACACACACAGGACCTCAACGATCGCACAACAACAACAAGGAAGAGAGCCTGTTGATGAGGGCACTGGCACGTCTGGGGAGGACCAATCAGCAAACATGCTCTCCTTTCTCATTTACATACCAGAGTGTGATTGGCTGAGCAGGCTATAGCACCATCACTGTGAACCCCGCTGCTGAGCATCTCTGATTGTTCTTCATCTTCCTTCATCATTGTGGTGCATCACAAAGGCTTGCTGAAAAAGACAACAATACCGTTTTTAAATTTGGACAGTAACATAAAATTGAAGTGATACTTATTTATCAACCTAAACATTTAGATATGACAATGAAGCATAAACTCTAAGGCAGTTTCTTTAAACAAGAAGATCTTTTTAAACTTTACTATGGTTTTGTATTGAGACTCACTATGCCTCTGCAAATAGTGGATAGTAACGTTCATTCACATCAAGGATGTTTAGTAGGGTTTAAATCCCACTTGATATGTTCACAAATTTATTAGGTAAAATGTTATATTCCTTCTCATGCCAAATAAAAACAACCAGGTTACACATTAAAAAAGAGGTTTTTATTTCATGTGATATTTTTGATATGTATTGGAATGATTTTGTTTGCTATACTGAACTGCTAGAAATTAAGTTTCAAACCAGTTTTAACCATAGGTTAAACCATTTTAAGCTATACAAAGCAAGTACCTTAGCTAATATGAATGATATATATATTTGTTCATATTTTTATATGCAAGTTTATATTTATATATATATATATGTATACATACATTTAATTTGATATAGTTATAACACATTACAAACAATATCCAATTAATATATTACTTAATATTTAAAATAATCTAAATACATATATGATAATATAATTAATATTTATAAGTTTAGTGAAGTTTTGAAAACATTCACTATTTACTACTTGAATTTGATCAGTTTAGCGAAGATCACAATTTTATATGCTGATTCGCAATTATTATTATTATTTATTTATTTTCAAAAAAGACAAATGTCATCAACATTTTTAATTTATATATAGTTTTGCATTTTTAGGGAGGAGTGTTGAAAAGGAGGAAGGGAGGAATGCTGAAAACGGTTCATATTTTTAGCTACACATTTAATTTAATTTATAATACATTACAAACAATTTCCAATTAATATATTACTTTAAAATAGAAAAAAATATAAATACATTTATAATAATATAATTAACATTCATTAATTGAACATCAATTACGTCATCTGATAAATATTACTACAGTTCTCTGCTGCTTATATTATATTACATTACATTTATGTTCATTATATATTATAATGTTTGGGGGTTTTTTGTTTTGTTTTTGCACTGGGATCTATTTTGGGTTTCGAAAATATTTTGAGAACATTTCAGTTGTTATACACTTGGTGGCGCCATTGTTTCAATTTTAGTGCGTTTGAACATGGCACCAAGTGGTTATTTAACAAAATTACAAGATGCTACCGAATCAAATAAGCGTTGTAAATTAGATATAATAAATTTAGAAGCATGTTAGAAGCATATGTGATATTTGTTAATATTTTCCCATACAGCTTCCATCCATTTACTCTCTGCTGTCAGCCCATTGGCTAACAAAGTTAACAAAATGAATAATTTTGATTTAAATGATCTTATATTAGATGATAATGTTTCATAACAAGCAGAGAGATGAAGAGAATGACACACACACACACACACACACACACACACACACACACACAAAAAAAACTTTCCTTTGACTGCCATTTCCCTGAACCATATCTCCTGTTGCTTTCATTCAGTACTCATACAGCACAGGCAATTATTTCAGTCACAAGACAGAACAGAAGTGCTTTGAAGAGCAACCCCCACCCTCAGAGAGGAACAGTGTGGTCCAGGAGAGCTGGCGAGAGATTTGATATCCTCTTATGTGTTTCATGTGAGCTCCTCTCCTCATCAGCATGAAGACCATGTCTCTCTTTCCTCTTAGACTCGGGGTATGTACTTTTGACTGCTATATCCCTGGAGACTCTGAGTGCAACAGTACAGAGAATAGCATTTCCATCAGTGTGGCCGTAGTTAATAGATTCTCCTCTGACGGCTTGTGAAGCAGCTGTGCTCCAGCTCAGAAAGGTTATCAATCCTGTTTCATAATCAAATGGAGAATAAACAGGAAGATCATTTACAAAGAGAAGAGACTCTCACAAGGCGTTGAGAGAGTATGTAAAAAAAGATGAAGAAGAAATCTAATTTTTGAGGCAATTGCAATGGGACATAAGTGTGCTGAATCAAGGTTAAGGATATTCTTGAATACTGAGATTCTCCTGAGTATTGTTTGCCGTAATCTGCTTAAATGACATTCATTTCATTCTGGTCTCAGACATTTAAAAACAAACTAATTAATGTTTCATTTAGACATGCAAAATAATACACTGCAAGGAAAATGCATGCTCATATATTTTCTAATTAATCTAAATGTTAATTAGCATGGTAGCATTCTTCCTTAATGAGAAAGTTAGTTCAAGACACATTTTAGGAATATTGCAGGCTAAATACAAGTTTTAAAAGCATAGCTTACTCAAATGAAAAATCCTTTTTTATTCTTACGCATAAACATACGTAGGCTATTAAGTTATTTTTTTATTCATAATTGAATTACAGTGCTCTTTCCACAGGTTACATCGTTCCGTCAATAGGTGGCGAAAAGTGAATCATTGAATCAGTCACGAAACCGATTCATTCAACTATTTTCGGCGGCGCAGCAAAAAGTGATGAAGCAACTGTCGACATTGTATCTAAAATGTAAGTTGCTCAATGTCAAACACTTGAACTGTTTCATTTAGAAATATCACACTCACCTCTGGCAGGAGGTTGTAAGTTGCGCCGACTTCGAGTGTCAGTCGTGGCGTTCGTGACACGCAGAAAAAATTACAAATTTTCAAGTTATTTTAAGTGGGTTGGTAGGCATGGCAGCCAGATCACAGTGTTCCTGCACCGCTTTCGACGGCTCTCCTCACTCACTAGCTGTACGCAAAACATGTTGAAATTAGGGGTGTGCGACATTGACAAAAAAAATATATCTGGATATTTTATGGGATTTTATCGATAACGATAATTAGACGATATTTTGCTGAGTGTGTTATTGTGCTGGTTCCTTAAGGACTGCCGAAGACAGCTGACTCCTAAAGTTTTTAATATTCTGCATATGCTGTGTGGTGGTCAGTTCATACTGATAGAAATTAATCTTTTCCAATATGTTTAAACTTGATTTTTGCATTTTATGGGCATTTTTACCTTTATAAAGCCATTTTTTCTAAAAGTGTCCATTATCTTTTGAGTCAAATTCTTACATTTAATCAGGGAATTAGAATAATAAGATATTTGGGCTGTTACCAAGCAAATTAAATCAACACAGAAGTGGCATTTAGATGTATTTACACACATGTATTTTGCTTAATGCAAGACATGAATGCATTTAACCTGCAATTACAAATGCATAAATAATGTTTTGATATATTAAACATAAAACGTTGAATACTGATATTTGAAATGATTTAAATGTGATAAAAACGTGAAAAAAGAAAGAAAAGGCCGAAATGTGAAATAAAAACCGCCAGCTGGTAGCAGCAAATCACTGTTAATAAGTGAGTCATTGCGATTGAACCGAATCATTTAAACGGTTGATTCATTCAGGAACGAAACACCATCATGTTGCTCAGAGACACAAAACAGCGCTGTGACTGTATTCGGAATGATCTTTGTTGGCGAAATAGAGCAAAAACAAGCAATATGGTGTCTAAAAGGTAAGTCTCTTAATTAACTTATTATTTATTGAATTCAATGTCACATTTGTAATCATGGTAATTTTTGGAGAAAAAAGGCACTCTTCGTGTGAAATTGAATAACTACATGAAGTGGTATAAATATATAAATTTTCTGCCATGTCTTGAATTTGTGATCATTCTAAATGCATTTTAATAGACTGAATCATGCAGTGAAAGAAAACACACTAAATGCGCACACGCACTAGTCTAGACTTCACGTAATGTATGCGTGCGCTCTGTAGGGATGTTTTGAATGGTTTTTGCAAAATACTCGATAATGTCAAATCGCACATCGTTAAAACAACAATTACGATATTATCGCAGACGATATATATCGCACACCCCAAGTTGAAATACAATTGAAATAGGGGCGTCGACATACCCTTTTTGTTGACGCACGAGCCCCTGTAAAATATTTCTAATAAATCCTTGTCTGATAGTGGAGATTACACCGATCTGAGAATCATTTCCCCTGATAATACTTGACCAATAATTTTCTGTCTGCTGTTTCAGAGTCAGAACTAGCAACTCGCGAATTAATCATATTGATCTAATCGGTCAAATGGGTTTGCAAAGAGGTTTGAAATTGTTTGCGGTTCAGTTTGAATCTTTCGAAGAGTTAACTCGCGTTGTTTGCAGCCGTTTCTCACACCATAACGGATGCTTTATAAAAAAGAAAACAAAAATATCGCTGCATTAGATATTTAGGCCCTACCTGCAATCCATTGTGTGAATGCAAATGTCATCGTCTAAAGCCCTATTCGCACGGGATTAGTATTACCTGGTGACCTCCAGTCATTTGTAATAATTGCGGAGGTTGTCTGTGATCTTAATCCCATGCAAATCGGCCATGTCTGTAATTTGTAATGTAAAAATTCCCCCACAAATGACCTACCATATTTCACTGAACACCGAGGTCCTGTGATAATATTAGTCCTGTGCGAATCGGCATCTCTGTGATTCGGCCAGCATTTGGTGGGTCGCATATAATTTTTCGAGGTTTTTGTTTGCTGTGCGCTCTTTTTTTTATCTATCTTTCGCGAAGAATGGAGCTGCGTTGGAGTGTTTGATAGTATTTTGGGTGCTGTCATCATATCGCTAACACCATACAATTTGCAGAAAGA